ATCTAAAAATAAAAAAATAAGAATAAATGCAGAAGAAAACCCTTATTCTTCCAATGATTTGCTTTCTTCCCCCCAAGCTCTCTGACTTTCTATACTGATTCTCCTTCCTCATTTCATATTTGTTTGTTTTCATTTCATCTTCATTTTCTGCTGAACCATACTGAGAAATAATTGTCAAATATAATTGCATACAATGTAAATGCATAGCATGTCACATGAAAATGCTAAAATTTCTCTAGCAAGTTAACTTTTACCTTACTGAACATATCTACAGCATTAACACTAAAGATAATGTCCTCTTTCCTGAAATTCTCTATTTTAGTTAAATTTCTTTTTCAGTTTATAAACTACTTTTTGCTAAATTAACCACCATTGTGCTTGGTACTCCAAATAATAAGCTCAGTATTTTTTCACACTCCAGCTGTTATCCACTAGTAAGTCAAATAAATAAAATAGAACAGAAGTAGAATAGAAACTATTGAAATATATGTAATAAAGTACTATTCTGGGAAATGTATGTGTGTGTCCTCAATATAAATTAATGTAAAATATAATTTTTATTTTGGGTCACATTCAAAAAGTATGAAAGAGTTTGTGTCTTATTCAATCTCTACAGCCCTTCGAGGAACATATAACAATTTACACTTCTTTTTTTTTTAGATTTATTTATTTATTCATACAGAAGTGGGGCAGAAGCCAGAAATGCAGAGGTGGTGAGAAGCTTAAACAGAGACAGAGTGGAGAGCAAAACAGGCAAATGGACGCAGTACACTGCTGAGGGGAGCAGCGGGCGGGTCAGGAGAGGTCTGCCGCGCCATGTGGGCTGGGTATCAAACTCACACTGAAGCGACTACGGCTAACTTGCAGTGCTGCGTCCTAACCCGCTGGGCGACCAGGGAGGGCCCCAATTTGCACTTCTTAATCAAGAAAATATTGACAAGTTAATGTAATGTGTCCACGATGAAACAACTAAATATACTCAAGAAAAGCCCCTATTTATCTTCAGAATTTCAAATATCCACACAATACACATATTTCTTGGGTACATTTTCTAATTATCTCACCTCCTACTGTTTTGTTCTTCCTCATCTAAGCAGCAATTCTTATGATTTAAATTCATTTTTGCCATATCATTACTACAACCACTTCTATTATGGATACCTGCAACAGTATCCTCCCACTTGGAGGAGGTCAAAATGTTCCCTCAGACTCTCTAACTCACTCTGTACTGCTGAGAGTAATAGCTTCAAAATAAAAACCTAATTACTTAGGGTAAACTTTCCTGACCCTAAAATAAAATGTGTGACCTCTAAATTATGTAGGTTTTAATTATGAAGTTGAATTTTTGTACATTTATGTAATACTACAAAATATAAAACATAACTAATATTTAAGGAATTTTCATTAAAGTCAGGAAATAGTTGAAAGACCCAGATCAAAAGTTGCTATTAAAATATAATTCAAAGACACTAAGTTAAATTTCTAGAGAAATTCCAAGTATAATCACAATTATTTCACCCAGGAATTATAACTAATAGAGCCAACAATAGTCATTTTCATAGTTAAAAGTACATCTACATCTTAAGACTAATTAAATGCTTTATTATTTGTGCCTTCACAGAGAGTTGATTAGAATTTTTCAAATACAAGATATTGTTTCTAATATGTTTAAAACACACTACTAGATTTAATTTTCACTGGTTTATAGCTAAAAATGCAACACTTTCCCAAAGTTATATCAGATTATTTAAGATATGCTTATTGTGAGTCTAATGCTTACTGAGATTAGCTGCTATGTCTGTATACACAGAAGTCTGTAGACTAACTGCTACAGCAAGGCTGTCTTTCAACCTACATATTTAAACAAACTGTTGGATTTGTTGTTATCTTTGCAAAATCAGGTGGCAAGAATTTCTACATAGGTACTCTCTAAAATGGGATTAAATTAGTCACAATACCCTTCATGGTACTATTTTAAATTAAATTATTTTTTAAGAAACTATGCTGAATTTAGCTTTCTAATTTTTAGTGTTTTTACCATACATAGATACCTAATGAAAATAAAACCAATAAGAGAATGTTTCAAAGTGTCACACATTTCATTGCTTTTTTGTGAGTTAGGATTAAGTTCAAAATTTTTGTCACTTTGTTTCTGTTGTTGGTTCTTCTCAGTTAAAACAAGAAAGAGTGAGTGGTTCAGAAAAGTATTTCTTTTCTACACAAAACAACTGCTAGGATGATGAATCCTTTGCACCGAACAAATTCATGTTGACTTATCTTTGCCTAAACTGATGCGGCAGACTATATAATGCCCTAAAACTAAACTATGACAACAGACTACAAAATGGTAAAATGACTAAAGAAGCCAGAACCTTATGAAGAAAGGGGTTATATTAAGACTCTTCTTTCAAAAACATCTTTCATATAATGTACCACAATTCCTAACAGAATGTTTGTGCTGGCATTAAAAGACAGGTGGGTGGCAGGCAAATTAGACAAAACTATAACTCCAAAAATTACCTCAATTTAAGAACTTTGCACTGTTCTAGAATTCCATTTGAACAACTTATTTCTTATGGAGCAGACTGAAAACCAAGATCACCAAGTATGAGAGAATATATGTAAAAATTTTTAAACTACCAATAAAAATTATTATAGGTAGATATTTTCAATACATATTTTAGTAACCATAGTTTCAATACTAAAAAAATGGAGTTATTTGTAAGTAAATTCATAATATAATAAAACCATTACATACTATAAAATATAAAATACTTTTATATCCAAAATACCCAGAAAATACTTAATGAGTTACTTCCTCAAATTATTTCTTTAAAAAAAAAAATTGGCACGTTTTTTTTCTTTTGTGTTGGCACTGGAAACACAATTGACTCATTTCTAACATAAAATATTTCCAGTATATTGTTTTCAAAGGAGGTAATCACGAATGGATCACTGGAGACAATATCACTTAATATTACTTACCCAATTTTATTCAATTAGAATTAAAATAATTGTCAGTAACTGTGAACTCCAATAGCTAAAATGCAGTTGAATTTTAATAAGAAATTCTATGTGCTACCTGCTATGTAAAACATTGCTTGTCCATTCCAAACACATTAGAGTTCAGATAAACATACCACATCACTTTGTTTGGTTGTAGTATTTATAAATGGTTTCATTTTACCATTTACCAAGACTCTTTTGTTCAGTTTCTCAAACTAATTTCTGCCAAGAGCACTAGGCATTTGGCATTAGTATTTCTTCTAGGAGAAAAACAACCCCTTTCCTCAGAAAATTAAAAAATGTTTGTCTTGGCACAAAAACTTTGTATTGAGACTTCTGGAAAGTATTTTAAATTGATGTTTTTAGCCTAGACTTTGTGACTGAAACAGGAAAAGGTTCCATAGCTCTGCAACAAAATACAAATTTATAGGGCTGTGTTTCATTCTTTCTAGGTTGATGACAGGAGTTTTGAAATACAATTTCCTAGGATCATGCTAAAAATTGGGCATTAATATTCAACAAGTAATTTGTTTTCTTAAAACCTCAAAAACTCCTGATGACTAGGAAAGGCTAAAAGGTGATTAAATACAGTCTTTAAATATCATATTGGAAAGGATTGTTTCATTTAACTTTCTGTTGGAATATTGACAAAAATAAAATTTACTTGACATCATACTATGCTCCTGTATACGTCAACAAAACATGCATTGCTATATTTTTATCTATAGAACTATAGATAAACCTCTATGCCTCTGAAATAGATACAAGTATTGCAAAATAGCTTATCTTCAATGAACATAATTGAAAAAGGAAAGAAATGATGGGAATACTAACATGTTTACTAAGATATATTAAAAATCATAGTTCGAACAATTCACAAAGACCACAAGATAGCAGCAGTAACTTTTCAGCCACTAGTTATTGACAATAACACATTCTATTGCCGACTCTTTTCAGATCAAGACCTTTAGTCTTTACCCATATTTTCCCCTTCTAACTACCTGGCTGTCCTCTTATAAGAACAGTAACAGCTATCATATGTTATATGCATATAACATTCTTGGCAAAGTCTATATAAGTTAAAACTGTATCAGTGTAGGATGATCTGACACAAAATTAGTGGTTTAGAAATTCTGGAATGGCTGGTTTGTATGTGTTTCTTTTTTTAATGCAAATACCTACTAAGTACATCTTATGTATTTTATATGCCTATACATTATGGATTCATATACATATACAAATTAAAAATTCATAATTGACTTTGCTAATTAAGTATAATTTTGATTTTAAAAGTCTAGCCTTTCCTGCTATGATTTAATTCTACTTATATTTTTAAAAAATCAAGAAAAATTCTATTGAAATGAATGAAGTAATAGCAAAATAAATGAAAATTTATTTACTACTGAGAATGAAGATAATGAAGGAGCAGATTCTTCCTAACCAAATACCTCATTCTTCCACTATTGTGGTTTTACAACAATAACAGACAGAAATCATTCCCATAGGCATTGAAATATTGAACCATCCTACTTCTTACCCATACTCCTCAGTTTCAGTGCTAATGGAAAGTACAATTCTGACATTCTAAGCTAATTTAATATTTTACAATGGCTAGTATAGGGGTTACCTTAACAGAAAATATAAGCTCCCCCTCCACCCTTTTCCAATTTGAAAATATAATGTTGTATGTTAAAGGTGGAGAGAAGAATAACTGAAACAAGTTATTTCTTCATCAGAATTTGGGGATTATTAATTTATATATTCAGAATTCCAAAATGTACATAAGTAGAATGTACAGAAAACAACTCCCTTCTGAGCTTCTTTCTCTGTTCACTAAAGATCAGTGCATTGTTTGTTGACCAGTCTAGGATGGAAAAGTCTCAAGCCGCCTACAGAGCTTAATTATTTGGAGAACATTTTAGTTACATGATTAATAATAAAATTACAAAGGAACTTTTTTTTCTATTAAAACAAACAGGTATAATAGCACATACCTGAAAAAGAACATGTACATGGCAGCTGTGATGCAGAACAAAAGGACCTATAACAGGGAGAAAATACATTACTTTTAAAAGAACAGTGACATCAACATTTATATCTTATAAAAAAAATATACCCACAATTAAATTATGTGCCTGAGACAATTTAAGGATACGCAAAACCAATCAAACACATGTATCATTCCCTATTTTTCAAATAACCTATTAGGATAATAACTGGCTTGTAATATTTCACTTTTATATATATATTATAATACACATAGACATATTAATACAATATGCATATAGATTCACTAAGGCTGAGAGTTTTAAAAGGAAGTCAATTTTTTTATTTTATTATAATAGTTTATTTTTACATCATTTTGTGCCTTTTTCCATCTCAGTTGTAATCCCGTTGGACTTGACCAATTCACCCTTGTGCCATCACCATAGCCTTGTGAACTCCCCCTCCTCCTCTTTTGATCCCATTCCCCACTAAAATGTCTTCCCCGTAAAATGTCTCTGGTATATAGTTGTTCATCATTATTATTTTTCCTGGTTAAAAGGAAGGTCAATCTTTTAACTGCTTCTAAGGATATGTAAAGAAATGTGACTTCAGAATAATAGATTTTATATAATCAGCAAGTAAATAAAAATTTATTAACTATAATATCAAGACTATCATATTTTTAATGTGAAATACAATTCAGTGTCAGGTAATTCTAATCAATCAGAAAGACACTACAAATACAATCAACTCTGATAGGAGATACAAAAGCTATTAAATTCCTTGAAAAGGAGTCTCCCTGTGGTGCAAGGGATTAAGATTCAGCACAATAAAGCTACAACCAGCCACTGCAGCAAGAGATTGATCTTGTCAGTAAACTAACACACCTGGCACGGCAGATCTCTCGTGTCTGCACACTGTTTCCCTCGGCAGTGTATTTAAATATATTTGTTCTGATCTCCATTTGGTCTCTGGAGAATCCTCTCATCTCCCCCGCACCTCTAGTTTAAATCCTAGCTCTTTTGCATACAGCATTAGAACAAAATTCCTTGAAAAGCAGGCAGAAGCATACTCTAAAGAAGCACCTCCAACAGCATACGTTAACACAACATGCTGAGAAGGTACATGGAAAGAACTAAGAAGCCAAGACTTAACCAAAAGCTAAGTTATGCCACCAAAGTGAATCTCCAAAAAGCTATTTTAAATCACCAAAAACAGGAGTTGCAAATACATTCTTATGCTAACAACAATGTAACCTGACTATAAGGATTGTCAATGGCCTCACAAATAAGCAACTGACAGATGAACAATTTCTTTTAAATGTTCTAAAAGATTTATTTATGCATACAAGAAATGGGGTGTAAGCCAGAGGTGCAGGGGTAGGGAGAGGGGTGAGAGGATTCAGCAGAAACAGAATGGGAAGCACAACAGGCAGATCACTGAAATACCCTGCTCAGGAAAGTAGTGGGTGAAACAAGAAAGGTCTGCTGCTGCACCATACGGCCCACCTCCCGGGCTGTACCATATGGGCCACCTCTCGGGCCAGGGATCGAACTCATGCCACAACAGATGCCTATATCTTCACAGTGTTGTACTTTAACCCCTTACACCACCAGGGTGGTCCCAGGATGAACAATTTTAACTGTAGAAGACTGACCAGGAACAGCGTTCTTCCTAGTGGTGCAATAGGTTAAAGTATCACACTATGAAGCTCTCCAAAGCTACTGCAGCACAAGTTCAATTCCCAGTCAGGGAGCTGACCCACACGGCATGGCAGACCTCTCCTGACTTGCCCACTGCTCTCCTCAGCAGTGTATTTCAATAGATATGCCTGTTCTGCTCTCCACTCTGTCTCTGGTGAACCCTCTCACCCACCACATCTCTGGCCTGTACCATAAATAAAAATAAATCTTAAAAAAAAAAAAAAAAAAGGCTGACCAGGAACAAAAATGAAAGTGGTATGAAACAGTGTTTTGTAATATCCAATACAGATAGTTTATAGCCAAATTTAAAATGTATACTAGTTTTATTACAAGTCAAGTTTTGCCACCTAGGCTTAAGAGAAGTATTATAAATATAAGTATTAGAAATATATAAACCTATCAAGCAGATAAGAAGATAAGTATCAATTGCCACAAAACAACCATTAGTCAAGTGGTTATTTTGCATCTTCTAAATTTACAGAATATTAAGTACATTTCCAACCCTGAAGGAGTATAAAGCTCCACAGTTCAACTCTGTAGCTGCTGTTCACATGTGTCTATTTAAATTTTAATAGCTTTATTGAAGAAAATAGACATAGTTAAAGATATAGCTTTGTAAGTACTTATTGTTGGGTCCTTTGCCTGGACAGACCTCCCCACCTCCCCCACAGAATCATATGCACACTGTTGTGTGGAAACAAAGAATGAGCCATGGATCCTGCCTTGTGTTTGCTACCTTGTGTTCTTTGACCCCCATGTTATTGTCGCATGTTATTGATGCACTTGCTGAGAGCTTCCGCCTACCCCCAGCCTCAGGCTCCAGGCTGAAGGGGATAAATAGGGAAGGAGAGAAAAATAAAGTGCGCCTTTGCTTGCTGACCAAGGAGTGTGTGCCTTTGCTTGCTGACCAAGGAGTGTGTGCTTTAATCCTGACGTCCTTCGCTCAGACCATCTCTGCTGTCGTGCTGGCGCGGCACTTATATAGCAATAGATGCCTGTAAAATCATCATCATAATCAAGAAAATGAACATAACTATCACAGCCAAAACATTGTTAATGGCATTCCCTTATCATTTTACAGACCAGTTCCCCTAGTGAACACTGATGAAAAAGTTCTCAATAGAACCCTAGCAAAATAAATACAACAATATAGCAATATAAATATAAAAAATACATGCCTTAAAAGGCTTATATACTATGACCAAGTGGGATATATAACAGGGACAATACTGTTTCAACAAGTGAAAATGAATGTTATTCACCTTTTCAACAAAAAAGAAAGATAAAAACCAAAGAAAAGAAAGAAAGTAAAATGAAAAGACAAGCTACTGAGTGGGAGGAAATATCTGCACACAAAATATCTGACAAGGGGCTATCAACGCTATACAAAGAATTCACACAACCCCACCAAAAAAGAAAACAAATAAACCAAAAAATCACAGACACATGAAAAAAAATATACCTGGTCACTTATCAAATGAGAATACAAATCAAAACCACAATGAGACACTACCTTAAACTTGTGAGAATTGTTCATAGCAAAAATTCCAGAAACAATAAGTGTGGGTGAGGATCCAGAGAAAAAGTAACCCTCTTACAATGCTGATGTGGATGCAGTCTGGTTCAGCAACTATGGGTTTCTCAAAATATTAAAAATGGTCTCAACAATTCCACTTCTAGGTATCCAACCAGGGAATACAAAAAGAAACTTACACTGCAAGACCTTTAATAATGACCAGAATACGTAAACAACCTAAGTTCCTGAAGACAGATGAGTGGATTAAGAACACATGGCGTATGTAGTATGTATATAATGACATATTACTGGTAATCAAAAGAAGAAAAACCAATGCCACATGCAACATGGATGAAGCTGGAAGAGATTATTCAGTGTAAAATAAGCCATAAGGAGAAAGACAAATAATTGGATTTTGTCACATATGTGGAATATAGAGAAATCAAAGAGTCAGATAAAACCAAATTCAAAAAATCACCCTTCTAGAAAGATGATTGAAGAACTGACATTGTGAGGGGGTGGAGATGGGTGAGAGGCTAGAATAATAAAAGAACTAGGACAATGGACTGTGATGGTGGTCTACATAAGCTTGGTGATGAGGGAGCTGGAGACAATATCTGAAGGGGATATTCTATACATACTAAATCCAAACAATGATGTGAACATTATCTCAAAAAAAATTTTTTTAATAGTATTTATTCTGATGAAACTAAACATACCAAAACGTAGTCAAGTCTCTCTCTCTTTTCATTGTCAGTATTCTTGATTTATAACTTCAATAACAATAGTGTTAAAATATAACCTACATGACATCTGGTTGCTTTTTGTCTTCCATAAAAATGAAACAAAGTATATACTTATGGAAAATTTAAATATTAATTGAAAGTTGTGATTGAATGGAAGCTACATACCAAAACTACAATTCTGTTAATAGATGTTTAAAAAATAAACAGCTTTATAAAGCTTGCTAATTAAAGGATTACAGATGAATGTTTACATATAAAAAAAAAGATGTGAATTCATACACTGAACAAAATACTGACTGAAAGTATATTCCCAGACATTAGCATCAAAAACATTTTATTCATATCTCTATTATCATCTAAAAGATATGTAATTTATTGAAAGTAAAGGATGACCAATGCCTTGAATTTTAAAATCATCACAATATCCAGCTGTTTCTTTTATTTCTCATGTCCATTTCTCTTTTTATTGTCAATTAATTGGTCATCAAGTCATTAAAAAATGTGAGATAAATATGAAAAGGAAGAATAAGGAGTCAAAAGAAACCATGGAGAGTCTATACATTTTCCAAGTTAGTAAAGGTAAATCAAAAAAATAAAAGTGGGACCTCCCTGTTGAAACAACTGGTTAAAATGCAGCAAAATGAAACTATCCACATTCACTGCAGCACAAATTAAATCTCCAGCCAGGGAGGAGAACCACATAGCACAGCAGACCTCTCCTAACCTGCCCATTGCTCCCCTCAGCAGTGTACTTCAGTATTATTTACCTGTTCTGCTCCCCACTGTGTCTCTGGTGAATCCTCTCACTTCCCTACACCTCAGCCTATACCCCAGCTCTTGCATGCATAAATTAATAAATTTTTAAAGAAAAAAATTATAGCTTTTACAAATTTCATTCAATTTAATTAGGAAATATCTCTTAATTTTCATGCATAGCAGATAAAAAAATAAGATTTCTTATATTGTAGGCAACTATTTTTTATTCTTACACTGCCAAACAAGTTACTTTAACAATTCAGAAGAAAATAAAACAAAAAATCTTCACATGTCATTCAACCCAAGGTGGAGGAAGGTTTTATGTGAAACCAGG